TAAATGTCTTCTGTATTGAATTTAGTATGTGTATTGCAGTGTTTTGAAACTACAGTGGAGAAAGGAGAGAACAGTTCTCTCTGCATTGGAACTGTAGTGTGGAGCTTGCCGCCCTTTCCATTTGTGTCTTTCCTTTTAAACAAAATATGTGTGTAAAAATTCTCCTTTGCAGGGCTGGAGAGATGCCTCAGCGGTTAAGAACATTGGTTGTTCTGGCAGGAGACCCAAGTTTGAATCCCAGCACCCACATGGCAGCTAACAACTGTCCGTAACTCCAGTTCCAGGGGATCCAACAGTCTCTTCTGTCTTCCGCAGGCATTGCACGACATGGGTGCACTTACCTACATGCAGGCAATACATGCATACACATAAAATGAAAATACTAAATAAATTTTTTAAAAAAAATTCTCCTTTACTAGGTGACTTTTACAACAGTTCTCCATATCATTAAGTATTTATCTGCTCCACAGGTTCCTGCAGTGCTTGTATGTGTGTGTTTGTGTGTGTGTGTGTATGTGTGTGTGTGTGTGTGTGTGTGTGTGTACACATATGCGTTCTCTGAACCTGGAGCTCATTGTTTTCCACCGAGCTGCAGCAATCCTCCTGACTTTCTCCCTCAGCGCTGTGCTCACAGGTGAATGCCCACAGAGGTCAGAAGAGGGCATCAGATCCTCTGGAGCTGGAGTTACAGATGGTTGTTAGCTGCTGTGGGTGCTAAGATTCAAACCCAGGTCTTCTGCAAGAGCAGCCAGTGCTCTTAACCACTGAGCCATCTCTCCAGTCCCCATGCCCAACTTTTTACATAGTGGGTGCTGGGGATCAGAACTCAGATCCTCATGTTTTACTCTTACGCACTGAGACATCTCCCTACCCTATTCCTGAATTGTTTTTTTCTATTTTGTTAACAGGGTCTCCCTGTAGCCCCAGCTGGTCCAGAACTGGCTATGTAGACCAGGCTAGCCTTGATCTCACAGAAATCTCCCTGCCTCTGCCTCCTGAGTGCTGGGGTTAAAGGTGTGTGCCCTCACACCAAGTTCTTGCACTCTTTTTGATGATGGTGAATATTGCACTATACAAATGCCTGATACAGAGATAATAAACACACAGGTGGAGGTTCTTCCATTGCATCTCCAGTTGAAAGTGGCTCCATTAGTCTTTTGCTCTGGGCCTATTTTATTTTCAGATCTCTCCCTCAGGGTGTTCTCTGATGCATGATCTACATGCTGCACACAGGTTGGTTACTGAAAGAAAAGCTGTGAGGCCATCAGAAAAAGGAACAGTTGGGTCATGATAGTGCTTTTTTTTTGTTACAATACATTCATGCAGTTTTGTAGTTTGCATTATTCCCTTTTTTGGTTAGGGTCAAAACTTACGAAGGACTTTTCTATATTCATGAACGATGGACTCATGGTGAATTGAAGAAAAAGAAGCACTGTTCACGCCTAGGTGTTGCTGTCCATGGTCACAGTTGGGTCGTACTGGTCCAGTGTGGTGTTTCCTGTGTTTCAAGGAGGGCGAAAAGACTCTTGCCCTGCCAGGCATGTGATGAGCTGATGAGATGTTACGATGGCAGATTTTCTCCTAAGTAGGTCTGCCTGATGACCTAGGGACAGCGTTCTTTAAAGTACCATCTTAGAGTCCTGGGTGTCTTGGAGCTGTGGCCTTTTAATAGCAGAGACTCAGAGTGGGAAGGGGGGTCAGGGAAGGATGAAGTGAGCGCCCCCTCTTTGGAAGACTACTCCAGGACAATGTTTAGGAGGTGGCACTGGGATATTCTAAATCATAGCTGTGCCTTATGCTACCAATAGCTAATTGATGTTTAGGGGGAACACCCCCCCCTTTGCATTCACCATTCTGAGATGACTCTACTTAGATGCCCTTATATTACACTCTTCTAGATATTAGAAAATATTATCCTTGAAGATGAACCACAGTCGAGAATTTTGTCATTAGAAATAAAGGATTTGTTTTAGAAAGAGGAAGATTTGTCTTTTTTAAATTTTGTAATAGGGTTTATAACTCATGATCCCCAAATCAATATTCCCTTTGATCACTGTTTAGATCTTTATGCAACTTCACATTCTGAGGTATGTGTAGAATCTTCAGGAATTAGATCTGGTTTCTTTTTATAAGTAAACAAATGAAGAATTTCGTCTCTAATAAAATAAACCAATATTTTATCAAAGAATAATGGATGTATGTATAAATATGTGTGTGTGAGAGAGAGAGCGAGAGCGAGAGAGAAAGGCAAGTGTGGAAATTACAGGAAGTTGGAGTAAGTGAGTAAGGAGCCCTTTGTATTGTAACCTTCCTGTAAGTGTGGAATTATTTCAAAATCTAAGTTAAAAGTTTCACTCTTAACTATTTGATTTGGAGTAAGCAAGAGACTGTAGTCCCAGGCAGATCACAGGTTAGTTAGACTTCCATTAGAAAGCTGCTGCCCCTGCTACAGGGCAGGACTCAGTGTAGGCTGTGTCAGAGACCAGGGTGGATTGGGGACATTTGGACCATGAAGAAGTTTCTCCCACAGCTATTTAATTAGCAAAGAAGTGAGCTTATTTAAAGCTCATGTTTGGCAAATTCCCAGTGCTGCCTACTGCAGGAGTACAGTGAACATTTTAACTGGATGTTTCTTAGGGGAGAACAAAACCCAGGCCTCTCTCTGTTGCTAGTTTCTGTTTCTATTGCTCAGCACTCTTACCTAGTGGAAGCTTCCCAGATAAAACAACTTAGGACTTTGAAATTTTTAGGGGAAACACAGTTTTAGTCACCCTGCCATCTTATTCATTGTTCAGAGATGAAAGGAGCCGGAAACCAGCATTCCCTCAAAATGTAGGTGCTGAGAACCCAGAATGAGCATTTCCAAAATGTGTTTTTCTTTTTGGCCTTTCAACTTTCCTCCTCTCCCTCCTTCTCCTCCTCATCCTTTGCCCTCCTCATCCTTCTCCTCTTCTTCCTCTTCTGCCTCTCTCTCTCTCTCTCTCTCTCTCTCTCTCTCTCTCTCTCTCACTTTTTGCATTGTTGGGATTTGAACTCAAGCCCTTTGCACATGTCAAAAACTGAACTACTGAGTTGCATTCTTAGTCTTCTTTCTAGTCTTTATCTCCATCCCCCCCCTCCTCTTGATCTTTCTTCCCTCTTTTTTTGTATCTTAACACAAGGGGTGGAAGTGGAGGAAGAAGAGACAAGGGAAGGGGCTAGTGTGTGGAACTCTGGCATAGCTGGCCCAAAGTCTGAATGAGCTCAAGAATTGCCTGTGACTCAGGCTCTGGTCCATTGTGTTCTCTGGGTTCCCTGGAGACCACACCTCTTTACTGATCCAAATTTCGTGTAGTTAGATTCAAAGCAAAATATTGTTTCTTCCAGAGAACAAGTAATTTCCTGAAAATGAGTAATTAAAGGCTTGAAATCCTCTAAGGAATGCTCAGGCCTGTGTTAGCTGTACTTCCTTCAGGGGGAAAACAGACGTGTGGCCCTGAACTTGCAGCTTGGGTTTTCTGTGCTTAGTGCGACCTTCACGTGGCATCCTCTCTGGGTAGCCGCAAGTTCTGTCAGAATCCGGGGCCTGCAGCATGGATGTCCATCAAAGTGGGGCATGCTCTACAGTGTGTGTAGAAATTTTAGTGTTTTGACTTTTAAATACATATATTCATCTATATAGTTGTGAATGCATGTATATAGGTACACGTGTGTGTGTGCGTGTGCGTGTGTGTGTGCGTGTGCGTGTGTGTGTGTGTGTGTGTGTGTGTGTGTGTGTGTGTAGGCCAGAGATCAACCTCAGTGTTATTCTTTAGATACTGTCCACCTGTACTTTGAAATAGAGTCCCTCTTTGGTCAGGAACTGGCTGACTGGACTGGACAGGCAGGCCAGTGGGCTCCATGGATGTCCTTGCTTCTACCTCCCCAGTGTTGGGATTACAGACATGTGCCACCACACCCAGCATTTAAAATATGTGAGTGCTGCCGACTGATCTCAGGTCCCCATGCTTACATAGCAAGCACTTTACTAACTGAACCATCTCCACACTCAAATAAATATATGAAAACAAGAGGTTGGTAGGTTTGTTCTTTCTTTTTCTTGGTTACTTTGATTCTAGTGTCAGCCTTTACAACTCATTTCTTGGGGAGCACATAGAGACGGCTTGTGTTTGGAAAGAGAATTCATGGAGCCCTTCTGAAGCTTTTTGTGGAGACATCGAATCAATGAACACTGTTGAAAGTCAGGCAGTAAATGGCCCTAATAAGCATGCCCATGTAGTAACAAGACAGGTCCTAGCTAGCGTCTGTCCTCTGTCCTAGTCGGGTGGCACTTCTGGAAGGGACCTGGCACCCAGGCTGTGGGGTACCCTCCACCTTCCATGTGCAGTCATGCGGAGTCCCACCACATCTGTATCCTGCCTCGATCTGGGGCAGCCTGTCATAGAGCCACCCGGGTCACACCTGCTGTGACAGCCCCAGTTCCAGCCAATTGATGCCTTTTTTTTTTTTTTCTTTTTTTAATTAAAAAAAAATCTCCTGGCTGCATATCATCAAGAAAAACAACATTGTTTTCAGGGTCTCTTATCTCTCCACTCCCAAATATCCTGTTTCTTTGGGCTGGGCCGCCAGGACCAATAGTAACCTCTTCCTGCCATTGGCTGACTTCATTTCCCAGACTTAGCACAATCTCATCCGCTCTAAACAACCTCATCAAAACTACTTTCTGGTCAGAGAGAAGCAATAATTATTATTAACATTTATTAACGATCAATAAACTTGATTGCATTATGGCCAGCACTATCAAGGTAAGGAGAGGATTCCTCTATATTTGACAAAATCTTGTTCTTCCTGAGCTTTCTTTGGTTTCCTTTATCAAGGCAGATAAGTTAGGGTTGGGCAACACCCCCCCTACCACAATAGGGACAACAAGATTTCCTTTGCACTGCCTAGTAAATTTCCTTTTTCCTACTCTGACCATCCGCAAGGCTTAAAAACTTCAAACTCAGAAAAAAATTGGGGTTTCTAAATTCACTGTTGAGGGCCGTGGATTACTTTTGCGAAGGCTTTTTGGAACATTTCTGAATTTTGAGATTCTTTACCTATCCCTAACGGTGTGCGGATGCGGGTCTGAGACGAGGCAACAGAATCGCAGAGGTTGGAGGGCAGGGTCAAAGACAAGCATGGGCTTGACAGTGGTGAGCCTCTGGATGTTCTTCAGTGACTTCTTAGCCCCCTGCAAGCCAGCACATCCCCGTGGAGGTGAAGAGGTGCTCAGTGGCTGTTGGTAACAGGACGTTGGCTTGATTTGTGGGACCTCTGTGCTGAGGACTGAGCCTTCTCAAAACTCAAATGGTGGTAATTAGGTGTGTGGGCTTATGTATTTATCACTAATAAAATACCTGCTCCTCTGTGCACTGTAAGCCTTCTTCCTAGCCACATTGGGCGTGGGGGCACTGGAAAGCAATGGTCTGTTGGTTCTCTGCTCTGCCGTGTTTGGTTTAATGCGTTTTCTTGCAAACGTTTCTGGTTGTGGGCTGATTTCTGGAAACAAATGAAGGTGATGTAGAAGTCAGTGGCGTTGTGATGTGGTGGGGTCTGTTAAAATATATTCCAGGCCACCAGGCCTTGGTGACATTTGTAAGAATGAAGGAAATCAGCGACCATTCAGGTAATGAAAGGAGGAAAGAGCGTATTCTTTGTTGTGTGTCTTTAGTTCTGCTGCACTGCACAAAGGTTAGAAGTGATCAGTTGTGCGCGCAGAGTTCAGCTTAGTTTGAAAGCCCGTGAAAATGGGAGTTTGCCCAGAAGTGAGACAAGGCATTAAAAATATTCTCCTTGGTTTAGTAGTTATTACTTGAAATATTCATGTCAGCAGCTTGATTAGTATGTTCTGTGTAAACTGTTTCTGAAATGCAGTTCAGTTTCTAATTCTCAGGATGGATAATGTACTAAAAGACTCATTCACAAAGACTTTGACCTTCTTCAGTTTTCTTTCTCTGGCTTCAAGGCTCAGGGCCCACTGCAATACAATCACCATAGAACGGAATTTGAAAGTTGAAGGTCTGATACTTTCAGATAAATGACTTGATTTTCATAACCCCAAATGCTGCCCTTCCCTTGAGCTCTTTAATTCTAATCATATTTCATAATAATTAAACCAAATATTCTTTGTAAATCTTGAAGAACTTGAGTAGAACCTTATGTGGGTTCCTCCCCTTCCCCAAATCAATGCTTTAAAGGGCACAGAAAGAGTGCTGCGCCCTGTAGAAGGTAGGGTACATTTTGCCAAATACTCAAGTGTGTTATGCTGTTTAGTCAAAGTCCACATTTATAAAGGTAGGAAGCTGCTTTTGAAGTTTGAAAGTATTTCTATTCCCTGGATACATTTTTGGGCAATTGTTAGCTCGTATGTAGAATGTTCTGCATGGCTGAATGTTGCATTACATGTATGTCTCCCAGGGTTATAATGACTCGGAGTAAATTCTTTAAGGCTGCCTGTCAAAAGTGTCTTTTTATAGGTGGCTTCCTTGAAGTCCTGTTTCTGTCAGGCTTCCTGGGTACAGTAATGGATGATTTTATGGCTTTGTTTACAGAGCGGGAAAGGAGGCCTTGAGTCTGTTGGCTACAGTTTTAATTGTGCTAGTGCAAAGCTCAAATGAGTGTGGGGAAATTATGGCTGTCCACTGAAATTAGGAAACAGTCCCCACACAGGCAGTTTCCAGTCTGAAATGCATTCAGGGTTTGGGTGTTCCAGTAAATAAACCAGAGTCCTTTCGTTCTCAGATGCTCTGAACTTGTTAAGCTGGCACTCCGCATCAGCATGGGGTTCTTTTCAAAACACTGTGAGGCACGTTGCAAAGCTGAATGTTCTTATCCCAGCCTTGTGATTTTCATGATCACCCCTCTTCGCGATTTGAACCAAGGGTATTTCAGTGGGAAGAGGTAAAAGAGCTTAGATTTGTCTCTCCATGTTTATGGGCTTCAGAATCATCTTAAGGGTTTTAGTAAGAGCCTGTCGGCAACCAAGCTGACGTCCCTGTCAGAAGGCAGTTCCAAGATGGCATTTACGGCTTCCCGAATAACTGTGCTTCCAATACTGAGATGCTTGGCCTTGGCCTTAAAGTAGCACAGTGTTTTTCTTACAGACTCCAGTGAGCCTGCTGTTCCCTGCATAATCCCGTGTTCTTGAGTTAGGAGTTTTATTCAGTCCTTCAATGACTTTCCAAGCCCTGCCAAAGACCTCCCTGACTGTTAAAGCCCAAAGGCTTTCCTGACCCTGTTTGTTATACTGTTCACCATTTGGGAAGTCTGAGGAAGCCCCATCTCTCCTTAGCATCCTGCATTTAAATGCATTGAAAGAAATGAATGCAGGTACAACAGAAACAGAAGTTCTATCCTTGGACTGAGCAGTTTAAGGGGACCATGAACCCCAAGTTGCAAGCCTGGCTTATGGAGCCGGATCTTTCAAATGTGTGTGTATATGCATGGGGGGTGTTCTCTTGTCACACAGAGAGGATACAGAGCAAGCAGACTCAAACAGCAGCGAGAGTGTGGAAGTGCCTCGGCAATCAGACAGGATGTGGAAAGTTACTAAGAAGGCCCGTGGTGAGCACTCTGGATAGTTGGAAAGTTACTAAGAAAGTTCTTGGTGAGCACTGTGGATAGCTGCCATCAGAGGTGAAGGAAATGCCTTAAAACAGGATAATGGGAGGAAAGGTCATCTCTGCATAGGTTTTCAGTGGATGTGATTAACGGGTTTAGTAGCTCCGAATGCGTTCCTCTTCCACCCACTGGCCTTGGAGGAACAGGCGCGGTCTCCTGGTCGCTCTGTGACAGTGGAAGAAAAGCCAGGTGCCAGGTGCTGCTGTCCTGCTGGGTGACTGCCACATCCAGGAGCAACCTCCTCCCCAGCTTCTACCCTGGCCTGGGGCATGGAAAGGAGAGTGTCTGAAGGGCCTGGCTGTGTGCACCCAGGTCCATTGCAGATCCTGGCTGTGAACACTTTTGCTTGGCCCCTCCTGTATGTGTCTGTCCATGTGTGGATGTACACACCTGGGCCCACCAGGTGCTTTCACTCTGGCAAGCAGAATTGTGAATGAACGAATCTCTAGGAATATTCCCCCTCATTCAATGCATTGCTGAACTGTTAGAGTATTCCAAAACAGAACTATTTTTTTTATTATTTATAGCTTCTTTAAAGTGATTATTTTGTTTTTGTTTATTTTTTTAAATATTTTATTTATTATTTTTATTTTATGTGTATGCATGTATTGCCTGCATGTAGGTAAGTGCACCCATGTTGTGCAATGCCAGTGGAGGACAGAAGTGGCTGTCGGATCCCCTGGAACTGGAGTTAGGACAGTTGTTAGCTGCCATGTGGGTGCTGGGATTCGAACCTGGGTCTTCTGCAAGAACAACCAGTGTTCTTAACCACTGAGCCATCTCTCCAGCCCCCAGACCTTTATGTTTTTAAGAAGAACCCCAAGCATTGACATATATACTTGATATTTCTTAGAAAAGCATAAGATAAAATTACAAAAGTAACCATTCCTGATGTTTTCAGGAAAATATTACTTCTGCATTTGAAACTTTGGGCTGAGTTTCCTTCTGTTGAGTAGTTCCAGCTTTTCAGTAACTTGGGAGAGATGCTGGTCTAGTGGCTGATGTTTTTTCAAATCTATGGAGGCCTCTGAGGGTTTCTGAAATGCACAGTTTCAGCCTGAGGAATTTGCAGAGAAGATCACACACTGCCAATGTGGGGGTGTCCTGTGACTTGGAGGAATCTTGTCCACTTGCCACAGGGGAGCTGCCCCCTACTTGGTAGGATGGGGGACACTGTTCTCCAACCTGCCTCAAGGACAGTGTCAGATCACCCTGAGAAACCTTTTTTTTACTTTCTGTGAATTTGGGCACATAGTGTCTTGTGACTGTAAGCAGGCATCTCCCTCAGTGGTAGGACTCTGGCTTCCTCACCTGTACAAGGGGATCCTACCTTGTGCTGGTGTGAGCTGATGTCTGTCAAGCCTCTACCTAGAGCTCAGTAGGTGGATCTGCCAGAGGGTGTCCCCTTTCTGTATGAATGGCCTTGCTCTGACCCCTCTCTTTACCTTCTATGTTTCCTACGACTCTGGTTCAAAAGTAAAGCTTACAGCCATAGACTCTGCCCAGACACTTTAACAGACCAGAAAATAGCATGGTCTCCCATGAATGCTGCAAAGCACACCTGGGCAAAGTGGAAGGCAGGAGCTGGTGGGGTCTTAGCACAGAGGTACAGCAGGTCAGGGTGTTAACCCCAAGGGCAGGCAGAGCGTCTAGGGGGCCCCAGGCTTTGCTGGTCAGCCTGTTGGCTTTGTGCGTCCTGAGGTCCGGCGTTGTTTATTGGGAGGCGGTGAGAGGTCTGTGACTGTGTCTTGTTCGTTCCTGGTTTGAACAATGAGAGGCGCCCCGGGACCCTCCATTGTCCCATTCCTTTCCATAAATGTTTGTGGGAAAACATATTCTTGCTTTGTGTAGTTTACAGACATGCATCATTTTTCACTGTTGGGTAGATGGGAAGGTATTACAGTCATTATAGGTTAGTCCACATCCTGGGGCCATGGAACCTGAGTGCCTGGGGCTGGTCTTTCTGCTTCTGCGCTCCTGTGGACCCTTCCACATGGCTAACTAGTCTGCTCTTCTCTGCTGACATTAATTTACACACACTCCCCACGTCACTACGTGTTTTTGATAAACAGAATTTTTATGCTTCATTGTGTTCTGCCTGAAGCAGACAATATCTTTTTTTACAACCAATGTCCTGTTGTAGGAAATGGCCCCGTTAGATTTCTCATGAATCTACTGCAAAGCACCATTTCTGTGATTTCAAAAAAATGTTAATATTGGTGCTTAGAAAATGAACTGTTGTGCCAGCAAACATATATGTTTTTAATGTATTTGCCAAATTTAAATATTTTGCTGATTTCACAAGTGTTGCGAGTTTCTATCTAGGACTGGCCCCCACATAACTTGGCTATTTTGCTGAGTCTTTTGTCCCTGGGGTGAGGAGCGATGCAAGCTCATCCTTCTTTTTCTGATTTGAATTTATATTCAATTGAGCATTTCTTTCTTTTCTTTTTTTTTTTTTTTTTTGGTATGAACCTGTTTCGGCTGTCCACTCTATGTTTTAATTTTTTTCTCATTCACTTTCATCCCTGGTTTTCTCTAAATTGTTTCCCGTGTACTACTCGGCCGAGGCCCAAGGTGTGTCCCCTAAAACTGTGGCCCATCCGTAACCACTCCGTTTCCTCACTCCCTCTTTGTTCGTTTCTCGTCCTCACATCTCCCAGCTTAGCTTGGGTCCTTGGGTTTGTTTGTGTCACATATA